AACTGTGATCACTAGGTGATGTTTTGCACCCATCTCGTAGTAGAAGTGTCTACACCTTTGCAGGTTACTCTCATTACCAGAGTACAAACAGGTGTATTGTCAAAAGCACCCTCTATGTCTAGAAAGGCACATGGTGCTATTTGTTTGTCCTCAAACGCTCTTACAGCCCTGTCCACAAGGTGGAGCAGAGCTGTCTCTGTGGATTTTCCACTTTGATAGGCATGTTGAGTGTGATGGATAGGTCTGTATATTAAGAACGAAGCTCTAATGTGATTGTCAAGTACCTTCTCCATTGCTTTGAGCAATAATGAGGTTAGGCAGATGGGTCTAGACTTTGCAAAAGAGTAGTCCTTTCTGGCTACCTTTGGTATAAATACAACTTTGCACGTTGTCCATTGTATCGGTATGTGTCCCCAAGCAAGACTGGCTCTATATTACATTCGCCTTGTGTAACTGGGCGCTTAGGGTTGTAGAGCACTGGGCTTATAAAATTTGACTTGCCTTGAAAAAAGAACCAGAACACAGAGATGACAGAACTTCAATTGCTACTTTAACCTTTACTTTAACCTTACACCATCCATTTCACTTTGTTTCACATAGCCTTGTCTATTACAGATGGTTAACACGTGACATGTCCATATACAATAGTTATGAGCACACAGTGTCCCTAATGGTTTTGGTACTGTAGTATCCTAGAACATAAAATTCTTAAAATTCATTGCATAAAATGATAATATCCATAATTTTTTCCAATACTTCCAGATACAATAAGTGTGGAGCAGAGTATAGCAACAACATTCCAGCTTAGGACATTTGCTGATGTCTTTGTTAACATTGTCAATGTTGTTGAGGTTGCCCTTGACTCCGTGGAGCTTACTTTCAAAGACTTGTACATGGGCAGATCTGAGATGTGGAGGCTGAAAAACCATTTAGTATGTTTTATAATTATGTTATTCTAATTTTGCTATTACACTTATGCATGCATAGCTTTTAAACCATTTTATATAGGGTACATGCATCTACTGCATATTTGCCTCGCTGTCTTCTTGCTACATATTTTTGTTTCTTAATGCCTATGTAGTTGATTACTCTACATAAATTTTAAACTCTATTTGTTTATATGTTTGTTGCCTAATGCCTGATCTTTTTGGCCACAGGTAAATACTTGTGTGTATCTCAACAAAAAGATTGAATACTGCGGAAGTGTAATCAGATGTCAAGTCTATGAGATGTGGTCTCAAGGAGACAGAGTGGCCTGCGGAGTCATAACCGAAGATACAAAAATAGTTTTCAGATCCTCAACTTCTATGGTATACTTATTCATACAAATGTCTTCGGAAATGTGGGACTTTGACATCCATGGTGATTTATACTTTGAAAAAGCAGTGAATGGTTTCCTTGCTGATCTTTTTGCAAAGTGGAAGGTTAGTTACAATTTATTTTTATTTGTAACCATAAGTTATAATGTGATATACAATAAATTCATTAAATCTAATAAAAAAAAACAAAATTCATCAAATGAATTATGTGAGTAAAATAATCTTAAATATTAAGATGCTACTTGATTTAAGTAAATTTTCAGAAAAATGGCAGCAACCATGAAGTGACAATAGTGCTCTTTTCAAGAACCTTCTACAAAGCAAAATCCTTGGAAGAATTCCCTCAACACATGAAAGAGTGCCTTCAGAAAGACTACAGGGGCAGGTTCTATGAAGATTTTTACAGGTAAATGTGGCAATAAGGGAACATTTTTATAGATTTCGGTATACAGTTGGCTGGTTCCCATAAGTCCACGTAAAAAAATGTATTTTATATAAATTACCTACATAATAATAAATTACAGTGGCTTATTTATCCTAGATGCATACACTTTTATATTTATTTTATTTTACGTTTCATTAAGTGTTGTGTTGCAGGACTCATACATTTCTTTTGTATTGCCTTCAGGGTGGCAGTTCAAAATGAAAGATATGAAGACTGGTCAAGTGTCCTACTGCAACTGCGGAGGCTATTCACAGACTACCAAAAGATTGTTTTACAATATCACGAGCGTCCAAACATCGAAATACCGACTGCCATTAATTCTACAGCTGCACAAGGCAACTTCTTGGAAGTACTCAATATGAGTTTGAATGGTAATTTTAAAAACTTATTTTTATATTAACTAGACTAAAGAAACTACCGGATAACTACGTATTTAAGTGGAATTGTTGCTCGTCATCTTTCAAAACAGTTCGTGGTCGTTAATCATGAGATTCCGTAGCGGTGATTCGACGGAAACTGAACAACTCTAGTCACCTTCGCGGATTCTCATGATTCGATTTTCGATTTAACGTGAGTGAGGAGTGACATGAGTTATCCGTTGCTTTAGTTAACATGTCTGAGTTTCACGGTGGTTTCTATTTAAAACTTATTTTAAATGCAGTGGTATGGTTTAGCTTCAAATGCAAATAAACTGACTCATCCATAGAATAAAGATCTATGTGCAAGACTGCTTCTTCTCAGGCCGTAGTACATTTCATTCGTTCTTCTCCGCTGTGGATGTCAGATCGACCGTTGTTCTATTTTATTTTTCCGAAACGAAATAAGACTTACAAATTCTCAAAACACCTTTACATAGGCCTTAGTTTGAATAACGAAATTATTCTCGTAACGTATATATTCTATTTTCGCTATATAATTACATCACACTCTGTTTATCGGATGAGCCGAAACATAATAAATAACGCACACTCACACAGTCCCGCTCTAGAATATAAGTGCGGGGCTATGAGCGTGTACGCGATAGTATATGTTATTATTATAAGCGGGCTTTACATAGAAAGCCTTCCCTGTAAAACTTTTGATAGTTAATTAAGTCAATACAACAGATGCAAAAGATATACTCCAAAAGTCATCATCCCATCCCATCCAAAGTACCTAAGGGCTCGTGCAGCGTGCGGCGAAATGTCGCAACTGCGGTCGCATCGACTCGCTACGACGTCTAACGACGAAATACAGTGCAGCATGCGGACGATTAGCGACGTAACACTACCGGCGACCGACCGATAACTTAGTGAATTTTCGAATAATTATTGTACTTACAGGGAAAATGGATATAGTATCAGAACTTTTTGTTGGAAAATTCTGTTTAACGAGTTCGTGCCGTAGGTAGGATAAGAAGAAGGAGATTTTAGTAGCAGTAGAGCTCCTTGTGAAAGAATTCATCCAGGGTATTACTGCCACCTTACCTATTTCTGCCCCCAAGCTGTAATGTCAGCATTATTGTGATCCGATTTTGAAGGGCAACGGTGAAATTACAGGCACATGGGATTGTCAACTTATGTCTCAGGGTGACGGGCGCAGTGGAAGTGCCCCTCAGATCTGTGCGATCTAAAGCTCTGAGTGGCACTGCAACTGTTACGGACAGGCGAGTACCTTACCATCAGGTGCACGATCTTGCTCGTCCCGCCACTTGATATCATAAAAATAAAAATAATAATTATTTAATATTCTTCATCCAATTAATATTCTGCGGCGATTACCAACTGCATCACTAAACCTATCTGTATCCATTATTATGATTTTAATTACTTACGTAATAGTCTAATAATAATAGGAATATTAATTGATCATCTAGTAGTAGTCGCAAGGACTGATCGCTGCCAGTCTTACGACCAATTGTCGCCGGTCGCGGGCACGTTGCACTAAGCTATTTAGTTCTACATGTTAAAACAAGTCGCAGCGAGTCGGTGCGACCGCAGTCGCGAAATATTGCCGGCACCATGCATGAGCCCTTGCCAACTACTCGAGACCAAATTCAGTGTTCCCAAACACGATAATTCTGCTGTAAGTAGTTGAGGTGTTGGGTAGAATGTACATAGACTGTCCTAGTTGCAGCATCAAATCCAGGTTACCATATTAATGTAATGTCATCGGATTTGCATATTATACCGATATACAAATTCATTTTATGTATGACATATATCTTATATGTCATACATATATGACATACATACAGGATGAATTTTTAGTCATCGTCCAAACTTTCATATTATGATCTTTAGTGAAAATATAACATGCGCAAATTTTCCTTTTAGTGTAAATCAATACTAAAATTAAGATATGCCATCGCAAAATTGTTTTAAAAAATTGCGCGCGTGTGGACAGCCTACTCGATATGCGCGCTAGGCCAACCCCCGCGTCATTGATAAAATACATAAGTTGCAAATTTTCCCTTCATACTTTCACGGGCTTAGGACCGTCAAGTTACAAAAGGCTTTTGTGATGTTATTTTAGAATGTAGACAATTAATTCGAATTCAAGTCAAGATTTTGTTACATTAACGCACGAAAACGAGAGCGGAAGTTATTTATAAGTAAATTGTTTTAGAGGTTTGACAAAATTTGATGATATTATTACAAAATAATGATAAAAATAATGCACCTGATATCACAGACCTAATTAGGAAAGTTCGTTTCCCGAACTTAACTTCTACGCATTTAAAGCGTTGTGTTACCGAAGGCCATCGAAGAATTTACTTGTTTGTGAGACAAACAAATAAAAGGTTCGCTTCCTACGATGAATTGTAACGAATTAGTATTTAGCAACTAATAAAAAAAAGAATCTTCCCATCGCCCTTTTGTTATCTACGCACGTGGTGTTTTTTATTAATAAAAATTAGAAACATTTTATAATAATATCAATAAATTTAAACAAAACATCGATTTACGACAAATGTAGTCCGCACTCGTATCGTACACAGAAGTATAAAAATAAAAGCAGGCCATGCCTTTTGCAATAAGGCGTATTTAAAAAATTTGAATCAACTTATGTACATTTAATTAAAATCAAATAAAAATTACCTTAGCGTAACAACTTTAACAGTATTTTAATAATTGCTCAAAATGTAAACCATTCCTCTCCAAGCAGATTCTTGCACGTTTTTGAATATTGTCTTGTATTTTGTTCAGCGCTGTAGTGTCACTTTTCACTTGTGCAAATGCACTTTCAATTTTTAGTTTCAATTCGTTGAGGCTTTGGGCCTCCTCCACATACACGCGGCGTTTAATTTCGCCCCACAAAAAAAGTCACAGGGTGTGAGGTCTGGTGACCTGGGTGGCCATGGAACGGGACCCCCGCGACCGATCCAGCGATTCCCGTATTCCATATTTAAATAATTCCTCACGTCGATAGCGTAATGTGGCGGTGCACCGTCATGCTGATAATAAAAAGCAGGATGGTTAATGAGGGCTAGCGGTACGTCGTCCATCAAATCAGAGACTATGCTTTGTAGCTTATTGAGATAGGTGCCTCCGGTCAGCCGCCCCTCAATAAAATATGGCCCTAGAATTTTATCACCGACAATCCCGGCCCACACATTTGCACTAAAACGCACTTGGTGATAATTGTTTTTTATCATGTGCGGGTTGCGATACGTCCACCAATGTTCATTATGTTGGTTGTACAGCCCCACACGTGTGAATAGGGCTTCATCAGTCCATAAAATGACCTCATCGGGGTGTGCGATCAGCCACTTGCAGAAAACTCGACGAGGCAGCGCGTCTGCTTCATTTAGCGTTTGCACTTTTTGAAAGTGATAAGGTGTAACCTGTGTTCCCTACCTTTCCCTAATAAGGGTGAAAATAAAAGAAGGTAGGGCGGTTAACTATTTTAATAAAAAATGAATAAATCCCAGGGTACATAAAAATTTATGATTACGTGGGCTCCGGCCTTAGGCCTCTTTTCCATTACACGGTTTCTCGCCGTGAAAATCTACGGTTAATTCGCCGCGTGTAGGCACGGTCGTCAGTGTGGTATGGATCACTATATGAGCTTGTCGACATGCACGGTGGCGCCAAGGCACGGCGCCGCGGCCGCGTGCGCCGTGACTGCCCCTCGGCGCGCCGCGTCTACGCACGGCGTGATTTTCACCAGTGTTGTATGGCAGTCTATCGGGGTGTGTCGACGGTGCCGGACGTACGCACGGATTCGTGACCGCTTATATACGCTGTTTCGCGATTTTATTATAAAATGAACATAAATCAAGAATTATTAATTACGTTGATTCAAGAAAGGCCTGTAATATGGGATAAGACCATCGACGATTATAAAAATAAGCGGCTTAAATATGATTCCTGGAAAGAAATATTTATTCATTTCCAGCCCACATTTGAAGATTTAAGTGGTGATGAGAAAAACAAGTTTGGTAAGTTACAGATTTAATTATTAACTTTTTACTTATGCATAGTTGTTTTGATAGGAGAGGCGACCTTCGTTAGATACAAAATATTGTGCAAATCTGTTGCGAACTTCATTAGCCGCCAAACTTCCGCGAACTGCATTCGTGATAGGTAACTGGATTAGTTCCGATTCTGAATCAAGGGTGGACTCATTTTCACTCGCATTGTGAAACTGAAAGTTTTCCTGCTTATGTATAAAATTTTGCAAAACACAACATGTTTTCACAATATCAACTGCCAAATCGATGGACACATTCATTGGCCGGTGAAAAATTCGCCATTTATTGGATAAAATGCCAAACGCACATTCAACAAATCTTCGCGCTCTTGTGAGTCTGTAGTTAAATGTACGTTTTAATTGATCAAGCTGATGACCACCAAATGGACGAAGCAAGTGATAATGCAAAGCAAAGGCTTCGTCCGCAACGAACACATATGGCAAATCGTAGTCAATTCCAGGCAAACGTGTTGCATCGGGTAGATTTAATCCGTTGTTTGTTAAATTTTTCCAAAATGGGGTCTCTTTAAACACACTGGAATCACACTCCTTTCCGTAGGCGCCAACGTCAACAAATATAAATTTGTAATAGCTATCTACTACTGCCATCAAAACTATAGAAAAAAAATGTTTGTAATTTAAAAACATCGAGCCACTATCAATTGGCTTAATAAGTCTGATGTGTTTTCCATCGACCGCTCCTAAGCACAGCGGGAAGTTGGAAGATTCTTGAAATTTGCTTGCAATGTGTAGCCAGTCTTCTTTAGATGGCATTTTCATATATTCTTTATACAGTTCTAACCAAATGTAGTGGCATACTTCACGTACGATGCAACTTATGGTTTTTATTCCAATTCTATAGCTGTAGTATAGGTCAGTAAAGGTATCTCCTGTTGCTAGATACCTGAAATATAAAACAAAACGGTTCAGGTTCAAATACTAAAACCCCATTTTAGGTCGGGGTCGATTCAGTTTAGGTCGGGGGTTTTTATAAATTTTGAATTTAATAATTATTATTTATTTATTTTCAGGGCAAATGGTGATGAAGAAGTGGACCAATATGAAAGATAGCTGGATAAAATATGACAAAAAAATTAATGAATGTAAGTCTGGTTCTTCAGCAAAAAAAATAAGAAAATATATGTTCTATGATGAAATGATGTTCCTAAAAAAAAATGTTGAGCATCGCAAGATCGATTCTAACATGACTGAACATGTTCATGATTCTAGCCTCAGTAATGAAAATTTTGATAGTGCAGTCCCGAATCAATCAAGCTCGGGATACACTGAACGGAGTGAGACGCAAAGGCCTAAAAAAATAAGAAAAAATGAACTAAGTGAAGTTGACATTAGGTTTATGAAGTTTATGGATTCAGCAGAACGAGATGAGAAAAAGAAAAGCCGTAGTATGAACTTTTTTATGGGAATCGCTGATACAGTTGACAAGTTCAGTGATGAAAATATGATAGACTTTCAGTTTCAAGTAATTTCAATAATTAAAAATATTCAACAAAGACAGTGTACTCAGTATATACCTACATCAAGAAACCAATGGGATCAAGGCCATCAAGGATATTTAAGTGGTACAGCATCCTCAAATGCGCAATCGTCAACATATGGATATTCTACAGCTGCTAGATCGGGCTATGGAATAAGTCGTCCACAGACGTCTTCTCATGATTTTGGACACGGTTCTGGTTTAGAGCCAATCCACTACCGACCCGAATCACAATTATCTGTACATAGTGTAAATGCGGAAAGTATCTCGGCAGATTCTCAAGTTTCTATTGAAGACGAATTCGATTTTAGTACCGCACTTGAGTAGCATTTTCAGCGTAGTGTATTTTTTGATTTACTTGTTCTTAAATTAATAATTATTAAAATTCAATTACATGTAATAATTTTGTTTGTGTGCAATAAACAATTTTAAACTAAAATATGTCATTTAATTTTGTACCTACTTACCTCAGAGTTACAGCCAATCTTTCTGCGGGCGATATACTCTCTCGCATAAAAGTATCTTGATGTTTTAGTTCCTGGGATAATTTTTGGAGCAAGTTGTCGAATGTAGTTTTCTGCATTCTAAAATAATTGTAAAACTTGTCTTCATCTTCTCTCAATTGATTCTTGACAAGTGTATGAAACGCGCCATATTCCTCCCTTTTTTCTAAAATCGGATGTATCCAAAACCTTACTTCCCTTTTTTTTTCTATTTTCTTTTTCCTATATATGTAATAAGCAACTATAATTTTTTTTTTCGTAAGAAAATTCATGACGCAGCACGTCCTACACAGCCCGAGTAAAAAGCGCTACTAGCCAGTACTTACCAATGTCTCGCGCGGTGATTTTGCCGTATCATGTACAAGCTAGGACGTTTTTTCAACCGTACGGCTTACACACCGTACGTTTGAACAACCGTGTAATGGAAAAGAGGCCTTAAGGTACGGATCGTTAGCACTCCCGGGGTTATGCACTCCCCCGGGTAAAGGCCGGCTGGAATGTAGATAGCCGGCGCCTTGTCGTGTCGGAGACGGAAGGTGTTGAAGAAGGGCTCCGACGGGAAGTGAACCCGGAACTGCGGCAGCCAAGCACGACGCGCGTCGCTTGTAGATGGTGTTGGCCACGTAGTGGCCGAGGGTTTTAAACCCTAACGGAGTTCCTGTAACATGTTACAGTGCGGGTATACTGCGCTGCTGTGCACGCGCCCGTTGCGATTCCGTCCCGGCAGCTTAAGGAATGCTTTACCCAATGAGGGAACGCTTACGTATTAATCCTGCTGCCGGGAGAAATCACAACGGAATTTAACTGAAAAATAAAAAAGGTTAAGTACTTGTGGGTAGGCAGAAGGCACCCACAAGCAAGAACAAAGCTAAATAAAACGAAATAAATACAATTGTGAAATGACACGTTGACTAAAAGGAAAGTTCAAAAGGTCAAGTCACGTAAAACCGCGTGGCATCGCATGTGCCTTCGTTAATTACGCGGATTCGTCAAAATTAAATAACTGGCTGCTGGATTGTTGCTGCCAGCCGTAAGGGAACGTATTTGTTCGACCTATGGATGTACAGGAACCGCGTAATTAACGAATGCACATTCCGCGACCGCCATTTTACAAAATAGCGAATTACGAAAATAAGTGGTGTGGTATTGGAATACTCACCCGAATACGGGAACTTCTTATACTCACAAGTTGTTAATATCAAAAGCAATTGTCGTAGTTGCCGAAATGCGGATTTATATTTGCAATTTAAGTATTTAGGAGCGCGCGTAGGCGATGCCGGCTCGTGAGAAATGTGGCCCGGACGCCGTCGCAACTCCTTTTATATGCGAGCCGCAGAGAATCCACGCGTGAGCATTAGCGCTCGTTTAACCGATTACGTAAAAAAAAAGGGTATGTAACGTTTTTCGTTACAAAGGGTGCAATCCAGAGGTGTTGAGCAGCTTCCACACAGCGTATTGGCTAACGTTGAACCGTCGAGCTACATCACGTGTACTTCGTCTTGGATCTCTCTCGAAAAAATCGAAGATTACGGACAGTCGCGGCCTACCACGTCCTTGGGCGTGTGAAGGCGTCGTAAACTGGCCATGGTCTAAAAGCCTCTGCATGACATGCAGAAACGTTTGGCGATTGGGGACTGTAGGACTTGCCATTCCATAATTGCGAAGGCGAGGAATGCTCTCTGACTCGTATAGTCTCTGGGCTCCGTTTAGGCTTTCATCACTTATAAAATAGCACTTGACCATTTCAAAGTACTCGCGGTTTGTATACATAGTGACACGTGAATGCGTTTTCAATAGCGAGATAGCGTTGCACACACGTACGAAGCGCTACACGGACGTGTGACGACTGAAGTGACATCCGCCAATAGTGTTCGGCGCGGGCGGCGGCGGTGGCGGCAGGCATTTTGCTTTGATTGGAGAATCCGCGCGGTTAGCGTATGGCATTCATTCATAGACGCATAGTCGTAGTAAATAATAATAGTGTAAATTGGTAACCAATTTTTGTCGAGTATTACTTCGGAATAAATATTTTCATTTTGAAAATAGACCTATCAATTTTTTTCGAAAATGGAGTCTTTGAATGATACCTAGCGGCTGGAAAAAATTTGGACGATGACTAAAAAATCATTCTGTATATCTTTGTAACTTACAAGCTTTCTTAATTATTATGGTAATGAATTATTGTTTAATTGTCCTTATATGTTTACAGTTTTTGAGAAACACTACCTAGACCGATGCTTCGATAGAACAGGACAGCTTTCCGTTGTAATAACGCCAGGTGTTGGCGTATTTGAAGTGGACAGGGAACTAACAAATGTAACGAAACAGAGAATCATAGATAACGGTGTCGGCAGCGACTTAGTATGTGTTGGTGAACAACCCTTACATGCTGTACCACTTCTGAAATTTCACAATAAGGATAACAATTTAAACTCTATAGACGACTACTCTATGCCTCATTGGATAAATTTGTCTTTTTATTCAACCAACAAGAAAGTAGCATATTCGAATTTCATACCGAGAATAAAGCTGCCACCGCGCAAGAGTACTGAGCCATTGAAGAAAATGTACGAAGACGAAAAATCGGGAAAACTACTAAAGGAAGACGAGTACATGCACAATTCCATCTTTGATTATGACGCTTATGATGGTCAGGTTTTTCAACTGCCGCCGGCTCATAGTACTTGGTAAGTGTTGCTAGCAAAATTTTTTTGTGTACAAACTGACAGGACAGGCGTTATAGTGGCTGCTCCCATCTGTACATTTTGCTGCAAATCTGTACCACAATACAATGTCAGAAATGTGGCAAGATATTAATAAAAATCTTAGGTATTACTTTCCCTTGCTTCTGCTGCCATTGCCATTGTAATGTTTGCTGTCAAATGAAAATGATGAATGATTTAGTACTTAAAGTAAAATATCGCTTGTGCGTCCTTTGTTCTTAGAAAATAACACTCATCCCTTTCATGACAATCTACGAGGCTCTAGCCTTGATAGTAATAATAATAATAACGCACACACTCGACATAGCCCCACACTAGGAAAACCCTGTGTCGCGGGTGCCATGGACACACAAATAGACAATTACAAATTACACCCAAAATCACGAGACAAATAAATGTAGGCCATACAAATATTTCTCCCGGCCCGGGAATCGAACCTGGGACCTCTGCGTGGCAGTCCGGCATGGTAACCGTTCGGCCACAGAGGCAGTTAATTGATGGATTAAATTTATTAATTAACCATTATTATCGAGTTCTTAGGTTTTTGCGATTGTCAACTGTAACCATGACGGGACCGGTAATTTTAAAACTTGTATAACAAATATTTTGATTTCAAAAATATTTACATGGCACGATTTTTGGGTTACCAATAAATATAGTTTGCCCATAAATTATTTAAAATATTGCAGTGTGCAAAGAGTGCCTCGCACAAAGAAGACTTCTGTAGCTGGTTTGGAAGGGATTAACAGGAGGAGTCCACCAGTTACTGCTCTGCACTATAGGAAGATGTCTGACCCTGATATACATCACAGTTTGGGAGATATCCTAACCAGTGGAAGTAAGTATTAGTGCTATTGCACTATGTGTACTTTACATGATAGTTGTGCCTTTTTTCGTTCCAAGGGCAGTAATGTCCACTTGCAGTAAATTTAAGTACATCTTAAACCAATGCTTAAATTGATAAGACACTCTTAACACAATGCACTAAGAGTGTATTTTGCATTTCAAGCATTCGTTTAAGACATATTGGATCGAGTCGTGTGACACGTGACATCGGAGCGTGACACCACAAAGTCACCATCCACACTTGTTGCAATGTCACGCGGTGTTGTACGTTCTTGTCACACCGTAAATGTATGTCACGGCAAAATGTACGTGCCGTCTTTAACGCCCATGATTCATCATTCGTCCGGCGAATAAAAACCGTCCACACTTATGTTTTTGTCACGTGTATCTGTAACGAAGTCCGGTGCGTTGAAATGTCACAAATGTGGACCCACGCTATGATTAACAAATAAAAGAACAAAAGATTTTGTTACAGAATTTTAAATTTCATAATTTATCTTTTAGATAAACCAGGCTACGAATCGAGTAGCGACGCACCCGATTCCCCAATCTCCAGCAGTCGACTATCACCAAGGAGTTCAATGTCGGCGAACAAGCCCGTAATACGCACTGGACGCGCTTTAATCAACCCATTCGACCCATCACACGTCACTGTCAAGCTTACGAGTAATCGACGGCGGTGGACGCATATATTTCCTAAAGGTAAGGCTCTCTATATCTCGGTTTCGAAAATTTGAAGTCTCGACGATTTTTTGGCATTTTTTCGATTCACAAATCGATGCCATACTTTCTCAAACTCGTATCTTATAAAGAGTGATTATTCAGGTGAAGGCAAAAATTTCTTTTTATTTTAAATTTCTTGTGTTTCAATGGTGTTAATTTGGATGCATTACTTTAAGAATAGGTAAAAGCCAGTGTGTATATATGATGTGAAAGCGGCCCTTTTTTTTTGATATCTTTATAGATATCAAAAAAATCTGATATCTTTATAGCTTTATAGATAGCCCAGGGAGACTCAGGGGTTATGTGGGGGACTCTCCCTCCAGACTGGAGGGCCTACCCCACTAAAACCCCACCCCACCGAGTTAACCTCTCGCCGGTTGAGTCGGCGCCGTGTAGTCGGTGAACATTCACCACGACATGTGAAATCCTCCTGCAAAATTTGTATACACAATCCATTTTTTGCATTTCAGTAACTTTGTGTTTTGAGATACGAGTTCGAGAAAATTAGGCGATGAAATGGAACTCCCTTCCAGGGCACGTATTCCCTCCGTCTTACAATATGAGATCCTTCAAACGAGGCGTGAAAAGGCATCTTGTAGGCATGCAGGGTGGAGGTGGCTAGGGCAATGATTGTATCAACGCTGCACTAGATTCCTTCACGTTTGGATACCATTTTACATCAGGTGGAATGGAGTCATCGGCCTGTAATGTATGATAAAAAAAAATTTCCTCGCGACTTACTTTTTTGTCTCCGTAATTTCGAGACTTAAGTCATTTAGTTTATATTAATAAATCTAATAAACTGACAGTAATTTTTTAGTCTGTTTACATGTACTTGGTAACACTGTAGGTAGAGCTTAGTAAAGTCTGTGGAGATTAAAAAATAATAGTAATAGGATCAGCTCTTGTCCATCTGAAACTGCATCGAATGCCCTTTTTTTATTTCGTGCCAAAATTGAAAAACTTTAATAAATAACTTTTGATTTTAGAATAGTATACAATAGAAAAGAAACCATTTGTTGCAACGGCACAACACAAAAATACACAGAAAGAAAGAATTAAAAAACGACAAAACAAAAGTAAAACAAAAAATAAAATTAACAAAAAACAAGAAAGCAAACATATCAAAAATTGTCAACACAATTTGAATAAATGTCATGTGTATGCAAAAGGATTCACTCGACTACTGGACTAATGCCACAACCGAAAGTAGGCTGTGACGCTAGTCTGGTTTTCCCTGGGATTTTCGGGACCATACTGAATCTCGATGTTTTTTTTCTGGGGCCCGAAAATGCAGCGAAACTGAAAGCCCTAATAAGGATTGAGAAAGGATGAAATACTTAAAAAACTACCGCAGATAACATTGCGTCATTGAAGTGCGTAATCATAAATAATCAATGGAATTTCTACATTTATGTCAGAATAACTGTATACGTCCGTAAGGATGAAGTCTAAAGTAGTTTTTTAATTCTCATCATATCAGCCGGAAGATGTACACTGCTGAACATAGGCCTCTCCCAAAGATTGCCAGACTAGCTGGTCGGACGCAACGTGCATCCATCGGTTACACGTCGCTCTTACCAGGTCATCCATCCATCTATTAGGGGTCGCCCCACTGAACGCCTTCCGGTTCGTGGTCTCCATTCGAGAACCATTCTGCCCCAACGGTCGTCAGTTCTGTGAGCTATGTGCCCTGCACACTGCCACTTCAACTTGCTAATGCTTTGGGCTATGTCGGTGACTTTCGTTCTTGTACGAATTTCCTGATTCGATCAAGTAGAGAAATACCGAGCATTGCTCCATGGCTCGTTGAGTGACTTTGGAGTTTTTTTATGTGGCCCATGGTAAGTGACCACGTCTCAGAGCCGTAGGTCAACGCTGGCAACACGCACTATTCGAAGACTTTAGTCTTCAAGGACTGCGGTATTGCGGACGAGAAGACGTCCCGGAGCTTCCCGATAGCTGCCCAACCGAGTTTTCAATTCTGCTTTCTATTTTATAAAAATATGTAAATGAATGTCAATGTTAAAGTGATAGAACTGAAAGGGCTGTAAACCTAACTAGCTGTGAACAGGTTCACGGCAATGAAACGGGTTACTTCCAGTCTACAAAATTTATTAAAGAAGTAAAGTTTAAAGAAAGGGCTGTAACAATAAAAAGGTAAATGTAAAAAAACAGGTACAGCAGTATAAAACACTCCCTACACTTTATTATTAAGGCCCTTACCCCTAAATGGGCCGAGTAACTGAATTACAAATGTAGGTACATGAAGGCTGTAGACTTATAAATTATTACACATGATTTAGCTTATTAAATGATTACAAACGTAGTAAAGAACCAGAATTAGCGATTACTCGCGATGGAATTTCAAACAGCTCCGACTGTTGTGGCGGTCGAGCTGAGAGTGACCGTGGTACGAAAACAAAATGAGAAAGTGAAGGAAGATGGAACAATTCAAATTTAAAATTTAAATACATGTAAAATAAAGAAATGATAGGATACAAGCGGAGAGAGGCGATACAAAAAGGTGAGATGACGGTGTAAGGAGGTCACAGCGTCACAGAACTAAACGAATTATTATCATGAATTTTTGTCGTCCAATTACACAGTAGCTGTATATGTTACCCCTTTATATATGTATAGTTTTAAACCTAATAAACAGTCAATACTCGTCAATGTAAATCATTTTATTATTTAGGCCCGACGGGTGTATTGATTCAGCAGCATCACTACCAAGCCAGACCTGCAGGCGAGGTCGCGTCGACGAATGAAGTTAATAACTTGAATAAAGAAAATGGATCCCCCAGCATTATGAACAATCATTCCATATATCAGGTTGATGGTAAGTTTTGTTAGTATTTATTACAATACATTTTTCTAGTTGCTGCTGCTTACATACGTTATCGCCCATAAGAAAATCTTAACGCAGCGAGACTTCAGTAGAGTGATGTTAATGATGAGAATTATATAAAAATTGTTTCAGAAACAGATTTGATTATCGTTGTAAAATAAAGAGATGTTGCAGAAGCGTTCTAAATGATCAAATACTTAAAAACTCTTAAAAATAATAATAATTAGGAAGCTTTTAATTGGCATCTGATTAATCACATTTAAATCCATGTTGTAAAAATAGCTGTAACCTCCCCTAACAAAAAAGAAATAAATCACATTTTCAAGGTAACATCCCGAGTCGCAAGCGCATGATCAGCGCATCCGGGGCTCTAAGCATCCTCGGAGCCACATTAGGACCTACCCCGATAAACAATGCCAACAATCTGGCCTTGTTGTGGGGCGCTACGGGAGAGCAGGAGTGGACACCTGCCTTAACTACAGGTTGGTATTTTTTATTTTGCGTTTGTATTAAGTGTTTCTGTACATTTGATGTGGTGATAGTGTGAAAATTTTGTATTATGAAGTTGTGTCAAGTAAAATAGGCAATTAACTTGTTGTCGTCAGGACTGCCGGACGAAATGCCGTCCAGTGCAAAATTATCTATTGCACACGATGCCCGTGCGACAGTTGCATAATGCCTCGTGTATCACACAAAATTATAGGCTGGCAGAAGTTTGCGTATGAATTGAATAAAATTAATACACACGACCGTTACCAGAGGCGAAGAGTCCATATAACAACACGGCTCCCATTGACTCACCATAAGAAAGTGCTTAATTTAGACACAATACTAACACACGAATCCAAAACATTTTGACTTAATTTTTAATATGCGAAACTTCTGATCATTTTATCCGAGAATCTAGGCACGTAACATTTAGTTTCGTATACAAAATTATTGACAGTTTGTCCAACAGTTTATCGCCGAATTACCTTGCTAGCAAATACTGCCTCCAAATGTTTTGGTTTCACTGCTTACAAAAACCACCATGTACTGCATTATAGGCGAAGGAATATATCAGCTCAACTCGGTTGAGATCGAATTATGAGAAAGTCAAAATAATCAATATTGTACAAATGTAAATGACTAAGGTAGATTGTCTCGTCTCGGTGGGAAAAATAAGGATGATTACACAAGCTAGCGCCGCAACAACTGCGGCCGAAGCTGCGTTGCTGCAGTTGTAGTCGCCCCTGCATTTGTATACACACATAATACAACGTGGCGTCGGCGGAGAGCACTGCCGCAATTTGCTATTACGTTTTTAATTGGTCACGCCACATGGGCTGCTGTCACACCCCTGGCGCTGCTGTATGACACCGCAACCCCTACCCTAGCCAACTCCTAACCTACTCCGGATTTTTTCGGGATTCGGGAAATCAAGCATGTGCGTAGATTAAAATGGTCGTTCTTTGGGATAAGTAGTAGGTAGACTATATTTATCTAAACTTTGCGACGAGTTTTTGCAACCACCAATATATCGGAATATTTAGGAAATTCCGACAAAAAATTACAAAATTTTAACAAATATACTCTAACCTAACCTATCCCAAATACCGTCAGTTTTTAATATACCTATTTTGATTTTTCGAATTCCGAAAAAATCCAGGACGAACAAATGCAGACGTAAGCAGTCTCCATTTCTGCCTCTGTTTATCAAAGTTTAAGTAAATAAACCGAAGTGTGAGCCGACTTCTCTTTTGAGTATATTCACTCTTCGCCCACTGATGGTAACAACATTAATTTCTAGCATAGCATGTTGACAAAAATGTAGCATATGTTAGACCAAAAGAATCGAACAAAAAACCAAATTCAACAAAATAACAAGAAGAAAAAAATTACAATTTTATAATTAACAAGTAAAAATATAATTTCTATAATGCTGTATTTATGTCTAGATACAAGTTCAAATTGTGTCGTCTGTTGTTAAGTGTACATATATTAATTGAAACTCATTATTAACTTAAATTTCAATGGGTTTATATCTATGCATCATAACGGTAGGAATCATAAATCATTCGTGTTTACTAAATGTTCACCTCATTTCTGATGTTTCATGGTGTCGTCGAATTCTCTCCAAACCACGTTGGAACGAAGCGAACCGAGCAATAGGTTTGATATTACTTTCATTGGATTTGCATCGAGTAGTTAATGCATACCCTCTTGTATTTATTTAATATATCACGCTATGGGGGTTTCCTATTCTATAATACGCAAAACGCTTTATAGAACGTTACTAGCAAATCCAAAACACAGTTCCAACATTTTTTATGTGTACAAATTAGACTAAATTGTATATCGACATGTGCTAAGACCATTTGGTGGCTTTATAGATATTAAATGCATGTGGTATTTGTCAGTATGTATGTATATGCAGGGTATATTATGAGGGTATATATCAGGGTTCATTATACCCATGAAAACGTCAGTTATTTGTATGTGTATTTTGCAATAGCCGTGGTATAAATGCAGGAATCATAGGTAGAATGAGCCCCTTTAGTGCGCAGCCAAACGAGCTTTATTCACAATTGCAAAACCGCTGTTTGTATGCATTTGGAAAGTGATGGCAATCTAACTGTTATTTAGCATTGCAATACTGTCGCAATTCCGCTCGTGTGACTGACACTGATATCATTATCGTATTTTTTGGAACTACCTGTATTATCACTGGGATTACCTCTGGTTCATACTGAACAAAGAGTACAAAATATTGGCCTGCAGTAAAAGGGAACGCACAACAACGCAACATGTAAAACCACTATAAAGTACCGCGGGAGAAATCAGTAACATTTTAAATGTGATTTCGGCTAGCAGCCTCATGGTAGACCGATAACCTAGTGAAAGTTGCAAGAATCCGCTGAATGCAAGCAGCAAGACCGGTCGTTGTGGCGTTTTTTGGGGGAGGTCTATGATCAGCAGTAGACGTCTTTCGGCTGAAATGATGATGGTAGCCTCATTGGACCGTATTGAACGTAACCTAAATATATTGGTTGTTACGATTATGAATACAAAGATAGAACACAAAGAAAAATTTCGTCGACTTGGTGGGACTTGACGACCATGCTGCACCGTAGCGTTGCTCTAACCATCTGAGCCCTGGGTGTAGTTACCGAGTTGTCGAAATTCTCCTTTGTGTTTTTGTTATAGATTTTTGTACTGACTTTCGGCATTCGTCGCCGCTAGTAACATCTACTGAGAGATTTTTGATTAACCTTCTTACCGCAATTTTTTTTCTGTTTGTTCGATCTTTGTATTCATAGTTATAACAAACTAGTGGAGTTATTTCACAAAAAATCTCAATAAATATATTTAGTTGTTAATCGTAAATGCATATTCTCTCTCACGCCACATGTAAAGTTTCTGCACGTTCCCTATGTTATAATACGTGGGCACTATTATTCAGCAGAGCTAATAGGAGAAGACATACATATTATGTCTAAACAGCAGACATATATTCGATGCTTTTCTAGAATAGCGGCTCAGCTCAAAATCACTTCAGTCATGAAGATGGCTTCAGAATAAAAACACTGCAGAATATCTAAAACTCAAAGCAGAAGAATAGTATACAGGCCGATGTCGTCACGTGGTTATTTCAAATAATAAAAAGATCTGTGTCTCTTTCGCAATCAAATTTAGCTAATTCTGAGTGCAGTTGTATGATCAGACAAACAAGTAACTATTTTGGTTTAGGCTACTATTCTTGAAAAGCAGCGTATGTCTAAATAGGACTTCGTTATTTTTTCTTAACTTTTTTTTTACTTACATTATAACGAAACTCTATTTACTGTTTAGATAGATCTCCTTACTTCATCGCTTTAGCTGATAATAGGCCTTATAATCAAAATAATTGCAACGATGTATAACTGTTACTAACACGCATGCAAAGCTTCTGGTTTCCACAAAAGACAACAAACACGTACCATTGCGAAATTCATCGTGAAATCGCTACAATTCGCCTACAATTAAGTGCTTTAATGCAAATGGCATACGTATACGGGCTTATAGCTTTTGGGTTTTATGTAAAAATAATATCTAGAATAACAACTTACTAAGCAATTACGCTTAGTTTACTTTAGGTTAGCTTAGGTACCTTGTAAGTTACAATTATTAAATATGAAAAAACTGTGATCTATTTTATAGCTCACGATCATAAACTTCCAAATTTTTAATTCCTATCATTTATCATTATTATTCCATGATTTGAGTGAATCAGCAAATTGTAATATTAAGGTTTCATTATCGAATATCATACTCGTTTTCACTAGTACTACAATTAAACATGGTTGTCAATTTACGCCCAAAGAAATTCATTTAGAAGAAATATTGAAGCACAACAAACAAAAAATGAATGAAGAAATCTACAGGTATCAAGAATTTTAGTGTTATTATACATGTTATTTTAATTGGCCGGCTTATAACTTGTCAACATAAATATAAAGTAGTTACATTATTTACGTATACCTTTGCGTTGTCAATACACGACTAAGCGTCATATGGAATATTTTTTTACTTTGCGTAGTATGAATTTCGATTTATATGATAAATTACACATTCAAGTTTTCACCTCTGATTTTGCTTCTCTGTACAGTAGTTTGGATCAAACAATCTATACTTAAAAAGACATGGTAATTACTGATATCTCCAATAAACAGGTGTGGACTGGAAGTCGTTGACGATCCCCGCCTGTCTTCCCATTACAACCGATTACTTCCCGGACAAACGATCTCTTCAGAACGATTATTTAGTTTCTGATTACAACTTACTACCGGACGATGTGAACGCGGACTTTGCACAGAATAGAGCTATCTATAAAAAGCCGCTCACTACTATGGAAGTGTTTAAAGAGTTAGTCTCGCAGAGACTTGCACAGGTATATTATTTCCGCCTATTTTATATTATTTTAATTTACCACTTTATTTGATATTATTATCTACTTGTACGCATATTAAAGTATAATTGATTATTTAATTTACAATTTATCGCGATTTAATCAAGTCAAACTGTCCATTTTTGAAAATGACTATGTCCCTGCATTTTGTTATTATTTCTTTATGATGTCAAGTGACGAGACGACCAAATCGCACGACTATATGCCTGTCCATAATTATAGTGCCACTCAGAACTTTAAATCAAAGAGTTAAGGGGCACTGCCACTGCGCCCGTCACCCTGGGACATAGTTATTGACAAATTGACAAGTCCTACGTGCTTGCTCACCAGCATTCTTTCCCTTGAAATACCACAACAATGCTCACATTACCACTTGGCTGCAGAAATAGGTAAGGGTCTTACTTGTCTCAAACGACAAAGTTCTTAAAAGAAATTACTGCTAGTATTTCTTTCCCACCCTCGAATGATCCCTTAGAACGAATGCACGTTGTAAAAAAATAAATAAACTCGTTTTACCGCAGGGTTTCCAATTAATAGTGGGCGTCAACGAGAATGACGTCATAGAAGCGCATTGTCCGTCAACTCCTGCACCACCGCCGTCAAAAGTAGCGCCTCAGAGCAGCAAGCCAGCTAACGGTGCACCTACCAAACGATACTTGCTTTCCATAGGCAGAATCTTCCATAAGTTAACACTTGTGGGATCTACCATCACTGTCACCAGATACAGGCCCAGGTATTTTTTTAAATTTATTTTAAAGGCACACAAACAATGTAATCATCACACGGTAGCAGATACAGTTTGATACATTAATAGACTAGACTACATTCCAAATACAGTATACAGCTCGATGAAATCAGCAACCGGCCATTCTGACGGACACGATAAAAGTCTTTAGTACATTCTCCAAATTTAAAAGACAAGAAAACAAAAAAGTAAAAATTAGTGAATAAAAGAATATTACACAGTCATTTGTTTAAATAGCTATAGGAAAAGAAATTAAATATTAATAACAATGTAACGAAACACAAATGTATAACATGACCTTTATCAATTACAATATAATGTTTCAAATTTTGCATTTGGGTGGGCGTACTATAAGTATTGTTTTGTGTACTTATGGTACACCCACAGACACGATGTGCAACCGACACTGACATTGTTCTACGGGACATAGAGTTACGTTTTCGCCAATCGCGTACCTCTTACGCGAGGAGAAACCTGCTGATTGGTCGATCATGTACTGCTCCATATAGAATTTATTGTTTAAATTTTATCCTTATTTCATTTCCTATGTGTAACAATCGCAAAAACCTAAGAAGTCGATAAATTTTATCCGTTTATTTCAGACATCCGTACCCTCCATTCAACATTCACTACCGTTACCGGTTCCACGCGCCGAACCACGACACATACGAAGTGTCTTGGGTCTCTTTTACTACGGAGAAATTAGAGAACTATAACTGGAACTACATGGACCATTATATTTGCACACGGGGTGACACGGACTTCGCCCTTGTTGAGGTCGTTAGTGCTATTATATTGTTAAATATCATTTATTAACAAAATAAAATTGCATTTCTGCCAGGTTAGAGCTATGTCTCTGCTGTTGAAATGAACAACAGGAGGCAATACCTCTGTGGGTAGTATCGCCATCATCGAAGTCATCAACTCGTTTATACGTCCTGAGACATGGGCACATGTCTCCTATCAGCGAAGGTTTGGCCCATAGTCCGTCACGCTGATCCTATGCAGGTTGGAGACTTCCACATTTTCCGGGGGTTGTGAACCTTCTTCGACGTGCAGGTTTCATCGCGATGTTTTCCTTCTCCGAAAAGGTCATGATAAATTTCAAATTAAATTTCGCACATAAATTCCGAAAATCTCACGAGGTGCAAGCCCGGATTCGAACCCACGGCCCCTGCTTAGGTCAAACCATTAAGCTACTACAGGTTTTTTTGTAGTAGTATCGTGCTTTATTTCTTAATATAAAGACCAATATGGAATGAATGGTGGTACAATAGAAAGGAAGATGAAAACAGTGTGCCGACTTGAATTAATGTGATGAGGGCAGGACGATGATGATGATATTACGCCGTCTTAAACACGAGACTTTTTTAAAATATGTCGTCAATTGAGGCAATCGCAACTAAATTTAATTTAATTCCCATGCATCTGCCCCTTTCGATACTATTAACAACAAAAAATATTAGATTAAAGCTGTCTATTAGTAGGGCGTTGGCTAATTTAACAGCTTTAAACTTTCATTAAATACATTGAACTTAAATTTAGTTTACGTTTTCCTAAGTAAAAATTAATTATTTCAGGCTTTGAAATACTGGCGCTTTCGCACTCTCCTCTTGCCATTGAATAATCCTGCAACGAAGAGAATTCTAGAAGATGAAACTACTCACTGCGACGTCTACCCTACACCGACACGACACGATCTAGATCAACTTACAGATGGTTTCCTTAAAATGACTGAATTGTATTTTAACAAGGTTAAACGACCTCCTAATAAGAGGGTAAGTATTGTATTGAACCCACGCACACAGTATTTTACGTTATGAACTGAAATGAATATCAATTTACGACGAATATTTTTTATTATATTTGTGAAAACGATCAATTGGTATAAAAATGCTGAACCGTTGAGTTAGATACGTTAACGATGTATGTATTCTACAGATTTTTCATTTTACAAAATTATATATATGATGTATACAAAGAAAATTAGTAAACTACAATGAATACAGGTGTAGATGTTGTATATATATATACATTATGTGTATATTAGCATGTATTTGCACTCTATACTTTTATGTATCTTTGACACATTTATTTAGCACTGCATGATTCTTATATAGAGCACTTAATACAGGTCGTGATTTCGCTTGGTAATTTATTTTAATTTATTAATACTTTAAATAATTTTACTAAAAGCCCGCTCAAACATGAAATTTTAAATTTCACTTTTACGAACAAGTTTTTGGCATGATTAGGAATAATAACTAATAGTGGCGAAGAGCTATTATTCTCAAAAGCCGATTGTGCGGCACTCGATAAATAACGCCACAATATTGTATTGGTACGTCTGCTAATGACTTAACCACAAAAGTAACCAAAGAAAAACCCATAAAGCACAGACGGTCACTGAACCTATGATTTCCAACAATTATTATACAATTATATTCACGTATTACGAATTATAGTATATCACAGTTGTGATTTCTTCACCACCGAAACTAGACAATTTCGCGAAATTGAAACAATACGGTACATTTGTGCGCAATGGGCAGTATTTAACTATAGTATAATAAGACAGGTATGGTAACTCCTTACAAACGTAGCAGCGTGACTTGTATGCATGCACGCCAGCAGCGCGCCGTAAACGGACGCACACATTCGCATAATCTCGTGGTGATTCACATTGCACAGTGCGGTCGTCGCATGTTGCTTTAATTATAGAATTGAAGTGGTCACTCGGTGTTTAAAAAATGACATCAAATAGACGTGTTTATGGGCTGTGTTTGTGGTAGTTAAATAAAGTGTCTCAAATGATGCTAATTACTACCCCTACGTAAGGCTATATGGATGTTCTTTTATAACATGCGAAGTGAAAAGGTTATACTTTAATTTTTTGTCCAAATTATTACAAACTGTAGGTACGACTAAAATACTACGCTACAACTACGTTAGTACGCGAAGTTTAGCCATTCAAGCGTCGAACAGGGAGGAGTTGCCCTACTTGCTCTTATTATACTATGGTTATACTCAGGGAATTTTTCATAGAAGTGAAAGAGATTTCGAGTTACTCAGTAGGCAGGAAATATTTTATTATGGTACAGAGCCATACAGCGTTGCGTATATTGCCTCGTCGGACAAAATCATAGGCGTTTTGTATGGGGGAGTAGGTATTGCGCAGTGTAATAGACTGGCGTATAATTTGTTCAAAGTTATTACACTAAGCCTCGACTAACTAATTACTTGAGAGACATCGAGGAGAATAGTGTTACATAGGCTCTTCGCCACTGATGAATATACTTACTTGTTTTAAGGGCGGCCATTATGTTCATATCTTAATTTGAACAATATTTTGTTGACTATGATATGTAAATTGTATATAAAATGTTAGTGTAAAAGTCGTGTTTTCACTGAATGTCAATGTGCAAGTGCATGTATGTTACAAGTTAAGTTTTTTATATCTTTACGTTGCACACAATATTACGTGACATTTGTGATTTCTTGTTTGAGTTAAGAATGCATGAGATTCACTGATCATCAGTAATATCTACTTTGCGTTAGATGGTCGTTCTTTTAAACACAAAAATAGGTATTTTATAGACATACTTTGTATAATAATCTGTATATATTCAGAACACAGACATAAATACATTATGTATTTATGTAAAAACTGTATATAACTCAGTAAAAAGCCTTTGTAAGTCAGGCACCCAATACCGTTGTTGCGGTGTCTGGTTTTAATAAGGCATCAATCCATTTTACGACCTGATTGGGTCTTGTTACACCCTGAGTGGGACATTTTCCGCCCTGAATGGGGTATGACGCCTTCGAGGTGGGAGACGGCGGCTGTAGCGTATGATGTGCAGATGGCGGTGGGGCCGACCGGCGCGGCGGAGTCTGTGCTCGCACGACGTCACTCCACTTCAATCGTCACTAGGAATCAGGTACCGCCACCACTTCCTACCCACACAGTTTGTTAAGTGGACGTGACACATTCCCCGAATTTGCCACTTTGTCCTAAATGTGATGTTAAAATTTCTCCAAAATGTCCCTGGGGTAACAAATTTCATTTCGTTTCACAGATACATAAATATTGATGATATAACTAGAACTGTGATTCCAGTTGGATAACGATAACATTTAAATTTAACAATTACCGTGTCACGTCTGCAATTTAGTGTTGTGATCAGAATTGGCCCCCCTCACGCCCGTTCCTTCGGCACGAGTCTGTTTGCATTATAAAATTAAATACTTCAACTTATGATAGTTTCCTGCGGATTTCATTTCATAGTTTTCTGTGAAATAACTTTTTTTCTTTTTAGGGAAGAAAACGTCTGTCACGAAGGAAAATATTATTTGCCACATAACACAAAAATAAATTATATAAATCTTTAATGAAACTGAGTAAAAAATTGGCACGTAGCTTTTTACCGGTATATTCGTTTGTATATTCATTACATTCAATTTGTATTTGATTTCAAATTATTTGTCGAATCTATTGACGCACTTTACAATTGACTCAAGATGTAAATGGGTTTGTAAAGAGATATCAAATATTTAAAACCGACTGTTGTGTGATAAATTCCTTTTTTACTATTTAACGTTTGGAAACTAATCGTAACCAATTAATATAAATGATGACACAGTACTAATCTAATTTTTCGGTCATAATTTTATACATAACAGTGCGTAAGTGATTATTTACGAGGTGGATGTATCTAATGAGCCTGTTAGCACTATTTTGTTTGCTAGTACTCGCCTATAGTAAGTTCGACTTACTGTACCACGTTTTTTCTCTAATAAAATCAATACGACCACATTGTATAACCACATTATGCGTATATATCTGCACTGCTTATTATAAAATTATGCAATTGCACGGACTGCACTTTTGTTACTGTGACATATTGTTTGCTGGCTTCCTTTGTTTATTTTTTTATGTTATTTTAAGTAGTTTTACGCTGCTGTTAACAAGGTCTACTCTCTATAATACGTCGGTTTATTTGTTCTGTAACTGATGTTTTGTCATAATTCATCGTCATTAGAAAATTTAAAAAAATGTCAATATAATTCCATTTCTGAAATAAGCCTTGAATATTAAGGCCTTTAAATATATTAAGATTAACGCATAAGCCTAAGTGGCATTAATAAAGACATCAGTTTATTTATGAACTAATATATTAAATGTAGTTATAGCTGAGTATATGACGGGGCAGCTTATCGAAATCCGTAGGTATGTAATTTCATGTTAACGTGTGTTGTGTGTGATGTATCAGGGTGGTCCGTCGAGCTCCCCGTTCAGAGAACGAGTGGGCAGTACCCGCCTGCCGGACCGTCCTCGGGTCCGGATCGAAGCTATGTCAGTACCACATACATGGCATCATTTTATACACATATTATCACAGAAACTTTACACTTCTAAACACGTCACCCTTTTTTTAATGTACTGGTAAATTTAAAGTTGATTTTTAATTGTTGCAAATCAAAGTATTCTTCAACGTGATTTATACCCATATTCGCAAGGTGTCTAGAGTAGATTATAATGGATCTAACCTATTAGATTCCCGGTTGACTTGGTGAACAGTTTCTGAGAAATGCTTGACTTTCATTGCGTATAAAGTACTGTTTTTATTCTAATTGTTTTGTAGTAAAACTTCGTTGCAATTAAGTAAATTTTTGTATCACAATCTGTAAATTTGTCATACATATTATAAATAAATTAATTTGTATAACTATACTTGTAACTGAGAACCCCGGGTTTTATATATCAAGACAACAGTGCCCGCTTTATTAGCCGGATTTACGGTTGCGATTATTTTTTTGCATTAATGATAATGAAATTAAATTATTTTTAATGCGTCTGGTTATTGTTTTGGGAATTTTCTTGCATTCGGGTGTGATCTAGTAATAATAAGAGTTCTATAGACGCGCAGAAAAATACCTCAAAACACACAAAAGCACATTTTGTATTATTTTTTTTTGAAGAGTTGTTGTTCGTAGGCTTGGGCATGGAGTGCAGCTGCTTATGGAGTTTCCTTTTCTTTTCTAACCATTATAGAAATTTGGATGCACTAATTTTGCACTTATAAGTATATCTTTATTCATTTTCACATGTTATTATCGTCATATTGCCAGAAAAGTAATATATATAAGATAATTAGACAAAATTTAGTTGCACGAAATTCAAGTGCGTCGCAAATCATTGCTTTCAATGCAAAAGACACTCTTAAACTCTTAATACATTCTGTTAAGAGTGTCTTATCAATTTAAACATTATCCTAAAACATACTTTAGTGCAAATGGACATTAATTTCTCAAATAATGCACATCAAAAGTAAGTTTTTCTATTATCGCAACAAATTCATTAAAACATACTTTCCTGGTCATTCTGGGTATATATATTTATATATATTTCGTATTGTTTTAATATTTACTGCGTAATATTATTATTGTATTTACTTTATTTCATTAAATCATTTATTTACTACGGACTATTTGGTTCTTCAATTTATAACCAATAATTTCGAGATGAGGTGATATTTTATTCTTACATAGCTTACTAAAATGTTAATTATTCTTTTTCAGATCCCCTATTGTTCATTTATTCTGTAGTTATAATTTGCCTATAATTATGCTATCCATTTGACAGTCGGAATGCTTGTCCTCAGTCGCTTTTTCTTACCCTTATTTTGAATGTTTCATTGCAGCAAGTTTCACCTACTAAGTCACTAAACACTAGCCAATCCTGCAAGTAAGTACATCGAAACTCATCCATAATAGTTATAAGAAACTTTGAAATCACTGGATATCATTTGTATACGTTTTTTTAAATCATTTTTTATATTAAACAGTATCTATAAAACAAATGTCGTTGAAGTGGGTCGCAAGACCTCCCTTCTTATCCCTTATACAAGTTGTTTCCTTTACGTTGTAGTAATGTAATATACACTAGTAATGTACAAGTATACAAATATATATTTACAATTATTCGACTCCCTTGTGTCTTTGACATACCAACCCATTAAATATATCCTAATGCTTGGTATGCGCTGTCTGTAAAGAGTTTTTATCAGTATTACACATAAATATGATGGTATACTTTAGGTAAAGTAAAAGTAAGAATTTTTTTGCAAAACGTATTCGATCTCCAGTATTTCATAAGCTTCTTGAATCACACTATATCTTACATCTATATGTACATATTTGTATTCCATACCTATCGAACTAAATCTTGAAGGCGCTGAACTCAAAGCGTGATTGATCTCTTGGTATGTAAAAGTAGATGAACTTCGTGTTGTGTTAGCCACACCCGCCAATCATAATTCTCATTAGAGTTTGTAAAGGCTGACTGATGTTCAATCTGAACCCTCGACGCTGCATAGTTAAGACTATTTAATGACAAAAATGTCACAACAAATGAACGAACGAACATTATTATTTTAGAAGCACTTATGATTTGAACTTAATTATTAAGGTCAATGTTATTAATACAAAGATCGAACACAAAGAAAAACCCGCCAGGCCTCTCAGGCCAATCAGCGTCTGTGCCAAACCATTTTGATGATTTTTTTTTTGTGGAAAGTGCACCTCGATTGTGGTCCCATTTAAATTTGAAGAAAATGTCCACTTCTTAGGGTGGCAAACTAGGAGATAAATCCGGTTTTACGCACTTTCCAGTAACTGATTTCAATAAAACTTGACAAATAGATATATTTCCACGAACTTTTGAGGTCGGTTTTTTTAGTACTCTGTACGGAGATTATCTTTTTTATAAGTATGTCTCTTACGTTGCAACCTTTCAACATAAAAGTCTAAGTTGGAAATGAGGAAACTTTGGTATGTGCTATAAAATAAAAAGTGCCAAAGACGTACAGTCGTAATAACACTCAGAGGTACCAATTAGAGATTGCCGTATGAAATTCTTCTTATATGAATTTCGTGTCATGAAAAGAGCCTCCGATTTACCAGAAAGATCTATGGATTAAATTTCTTCTACTAATAACGTAGAACATTCTTGTTAAATATTTTAACTACCGCCGTCTAATTATGAAAGTAAGTCATCATTCGTCAGCTTCTATTTTAGACTCAATTTACACTGCCTTGAGATGGATTTTTTTGTAACGTAAGCGTACATAGCATAATTGAACTTTATATCGATTGTGTAACATCCAAAGTAGTTACGATTACTGTTGGGTAATTTTCCGAAAAACTGAAAATATATGAAAAATTGGATAAATTATATGGAAGGCTCTATTATGTTCTGCGTCTAGAAATATCATTTGAAGTTTTATTTAGCGTGAATTGTAAAATAAACTTGTATAGATATAAGCCACAGAAAGAAAAACGAGACTTAAAACGATTTCACAACAGCGAAAAAAACCTCCAACATCCACACCACACCACCACAACCTGTTCTTGGCGCCAGCGTTTTCGTTCAAACTAAAATTTTGATAGTTGACACCAACGTCAAATGTGAAAAATTAATTGGAAAAATATTTATTTTTTCTAAAAAATATGAATTTTTCAAAATAGAAAATTTTCCCATGACCCAACACTAGTTACGATACAGTAGATGCGGGAATTCCAGAGATTGTGCAATAATTCTCCGGAAGACGCATGACCTGTTTGTTGGCTCGATCTAGTTTGTTTTGTACGATGCACAATTAGCATAAAGACCATTATGCTATGGCAATATAAAAAACTTATCATGCCGTTTGTCACCATATTTCATCTCGTTCTCAGAACAGTCAAGTTTGCTTCGATATGTAGCTTTGCTTAATTGCTCAGCCAGCTATCTATCTGCTTGTAAATACTTTCTGCCTAATCACGTAAAGCCAAAGAGACTCCGGCGGTTCTATCTTCTCGTTTCCCTGTCAAAACTGTGACAGACAAGATAATTTTGAACCGAAAAAACCTTCAATTCCACCGGATCTTTCGCCTTATGCGGTTAGCCAACGGCTCTGTGAATATGAATTACAGTAATCCGTTTTATTACATTGATATTATACAGGTCCGCTACAAAAGCTGTTCTGGAAAGGACGCAATCGCAAACAGGAGAGTTGGACGACACCTACGATGATGGGTAAGAATTTTGGCTTTTTTCTTATTAAGAGTGTTACCGTATCAACCGATCGATGTCGAATCGATCCATCGATTCGGTCGATCGACGGTTATTTCAGTAATTACACACAGAGGGGCCTAGAATAATCGGCGATTGTTCCATCATTGATTTACAAATTCCTGCAATCAATTTAGCGTAGGACAAACTATCGATCGACGTTGATTAAATTTGTTGGTGTCTGTATTTTTTATATATTTTTTTTGTTTCGAGAATAAATTCAAAGAAATGCCATCTCTACATCCTACACTACTACATGCCAATCAAAAATTACACCATTGAGAAACCTTCGATTTATCTTTTCAACGACATTTTACGGTTTCCACCCATTTTCATAATAATAATTATAAGTCAATTTTAATTGAGCATTCCTAAAACGTTATTAAAAAAGTTTTGCATCAGTAAGACGTAGCTCAAATGTTCGATATTCAATACTTTATATTTTTTATTTTATTATAGTGTCACCATCTACATTTCAATATGCACTAAAGTAAATTTGTATGAATTGATACCCCATGTTATTATCATATACTTTTGTACATAAAAAATTTGTTTAAGTTTTATTGAATGTCACGATGTTTGACCACCATGATATTCAATTGTTTTTGTGAAATTACTCCACTAGTTTGTTATAATTATTAATACAAAGATCGCACATTTAGAAAAAAGTCTTTCGATCGGGCTGCATTCGAACCAACGTCTTCCAGCAAACCGTACCAGAGGCTATGAACATAGCGGACTTCACGATTTTTTCTATATGCTTGTTGCTGATCCTTTGTTTTTTGCCGTAGCGCCATCTGTGAGAAATCTTTTTCTTCACTCACCTTTACGGCTACCAGCAGATGACTAGAGATGTCGCTTTAATAATTGTAATTTTAAAGCGAGTAATTAAAAAAAAAACCAAATTCAAATTCATTTATCCTCAGACTAGTTAGTCGTCCATATTTGTTAGTAACAATCTTATGAGCTAAGTTAGTGGAAACAAGGAGAACAATTACAATACATTAAATTAACTTATATTATTACATTACTATTATAAATACATTATTATATATTATGTCTACATGTAACTCAGTGAACCTACGGAAAACAGCCGAGTCCATTCTTTTTGCTATCATCCTCAGGGTACCATTAATATACAGGGTGGAAATTTGTAATGCCACTTGGAAGGAAAGTACGTTAAATACTGAAAATAGAAATTTTTACTTAAAGAAAACATTCCTTTATTTTTAAAAAGAAATAATACTGCATTCAAAGATTTTCGAAAATTGCTAGCCACACGGGGGAATCGAACCCGCTAAAATCTTTAAAAAAATGCACCCTGTACTTTAATTAAATCAATCGATAGGGTCAATTATGAGGATGAAATCTCTCTTACAAACCATGAAATCTGGAGTTATAAATTCAATGGGTCAAGTTAAAGCACTTTTACTCAAAGGTCCGTCAGATTACTTGTTAATTATCGTTGACGTCATTTATCTATTAAAATGACGAAGTACTATTTAGATAAGAAGATTGCAATTTGCACATGTTTGTAATGCAGACTCTTTGGTCAGTGGCATGACGTAATTTAAATATGGAATGTTTCATTTGAAACTTTGTTATTTCCATTTGATTGTTTTTACATATCCTTTCTACTGATAGTTTTCCTATAAATAAATAAATTTCATATTTGTCTCATCGTAAAAATGGCATATCAAGAACAATTTGATTTAATGGAAGCTTATTTGTTAAATAACAAAAATGTGAATTTAGCTCTGCGGTGGTATGAACAGAGATATTGGGATCGACAAGCACGAACTCGATTCGTTCTGAAAAGAATGGTAAATAATTAAAAAAATACGGGTAACTACGAAAAGCGACGGCAAACTCCTCAACAGAACTATTCCGAATTCGATCTTAATGTTTTAACATACTTCGAAGCATTCCCAAAGGCTTCAAACAGAGGTGCTACAGAAGACATTGGAACGAACCACACTCGAGTCCCTCAAATGCTTAAAAAGTATAAGTATAAATGTTATCGTGACGGCCGGTTGGTGCAAAAATTGCATCCTGGGGATTGTGAGAGACGACTTCAATTTTGTCAAGACATGCTAAGAAAAGTTGGCCGTAACCCGAATTTTTTGAGTAACATTGTATGGTTTGACGAAACCAACTTCAGTAATAACGGCATGTACAACCGCCGCAATAACCATTATTGGCCTCGAGTGAATCCTGTTCGTGTTCATGTAAGATTCTTAGTTAGTTAGACTAACAATCAAGTAGGATTCTTTTTCAACGTTTGGTGCGGAATTATGAGAAATATGGTTGTGTTAGTCCACGTGTACGAAGGTCATTTGAACACTGTCAAGTATCTTGAAATACTGGACCTCTTAAGATATGAGTTAAATGTTTTATCCGAGGAAGAGCGAAATCGAATAATTCTGCAGCAAGATGGCGCTCCAGCCCATAACAGCAGAGTCACTACTGCCTACATTAGTAACCATTTTAATACCTGGATTGGTACAAACGGCACAATCAGATGGCCTGCGAGATCACCAGATCTCACCCCTTAGATTTTTTTGTGGGGATATGTTAAAAATCAAATTTACCTTAAATCTTATGCGAGTGTAAACGAGTTGAAGGCTGAGGTTCAGAATACGATTTGTAATATAATTCATCACAACACGTTATTAAAAGTTACTCAAAATGAATTCGTTAAAAGACTAAATTTGTGTATCCAAGAAAATGGAGCTCATTTCGAGCAACTAATTAGTTAGATTACCATTTTTTTCGTATTATTAAAATACGTTAAGATTTCATGGTTTTTTTTCCATTTAATTAACCAATTTTGTGAGAGAGATTTTATTCTTATAATTAACGCTATCGATCGATGCAATAAATGTGCAGGGTGGGGATTTTTTTCAGATTAAAGCGGGTTCGATTACCGCGCGTTGCTAGAAATTTTCCAAAATTTTATGAATGCAGTTTTATTTCTTTTAAAAAATAAAGGAATGTTTCATTTAAGTAAAAATTTCTATCTCCAGTATTTAGAGTACTTTCCCTCCAGGTGGCATTACAAATTTCCACCCGGTATATGTATAATATATAAAGAAAAATTTACAATTGTGATCATTTGCGTCTTCGTCTCGTAGACAAATTAAAGGTCGCCGTCTCTAACTGTTATTTATTTCAGGGTCCTTGAACCAAAGCTAAAAGCAAACGTGTCTCTCGCTGAAATCATCGAGCGAATGCGCCACCCGACTCTGGGCGTGGGATTCTTACAACAGACCGTCAGCCTACCCTCACATACCTTCGTTTCCATCTACGCTATTCACTGGCTTCAGACCAACATGGAGAATATGACTTGTGACAAAGCTGTCAATATTATGGAGGTAATTCAAATTAAGTGAATACATTAAAAATGTTCCCCTAACAGAATATTCGATTTAATTATTTGTATTTTTGTACAAGTATACAAAATGTGTACGGCAGGTCACTAGTGTTGCCTTGAACGGTTTGACCTACCGCCTCTCAAGCAGACGATCGTAGGTTCGAATCTGGGCTTGCACTTCTAAGCTCTTCAGAATTATGTGCAAAATTTAATTTTAAATTTGACATGAACTATTCGGTGAAGGAAAATATCGTGAGGAAACCTGTACACATTGCAAAGCAATTTAATGATGTGTGTGAAGTTTCCAATTCGCATTGGGTCTGCGTGGGACTCACAGCCATGTGCCTATAAATAGTGGGACTATAAATAAGCTAACTATTGTTAATATATTACTACTGCTTTACATAGCGTTTAAATTTGAACTTTAAAAAAGTAACTGAGTGTACCAGCTTATGAACAAATGTTTTTAAAACAACAGAGCATACTAATTTATTTTGAGTTTAAACAATTTACAGATTGAGTCGTATTTTTTTAATGCATATCACTATCTTTGCAGAAACTGTTGCAAGATAAAATGATATGCCACGCGTCAGGCGATACGTCAAAGCGATTTGTCGTCGGATACTACATGTATCACATTCTTCCACAGAAGAATAGTAAAGGTATGTCCAGCTTTTTTTCTCTTCAATATTCTTAGTTTTCCTTTCGTTGACTACAAAATTGTCTGTAATACGTTAATCATTGATCTATTTGACGACTTCCGCGTTCGAGTGGTTTGCACATCGGTTTTCATGGTGTCGCCATCTGTGACGTCCCGGGTTCGATCCCCGACGAGGTCAATGTCAACTAACTTTCCTGTACTGTCTCTGGCCTGGATGTTTGTGGTACCGTCGTTGTTTCCGGTTTCCATAACACAAGTGTTTTAGTTACTTACATTGGAATCAAAGCAACATATGCGATGTTGTCTGATATTTATTTTTATTATACCTCTACATTGTATTCCCCAACTACGCACATGTCACGCAAGTCAAGGAAGCGTCAAGGTTATGGTGGTAAAACATAACTATCATCTTTATACTCTCTACCTTGTAACAGTAATTCATTAGCAGCAGAGCTCCTTGTGTTCGTCCAAGGAAGTACTGCCACCTTACCTATTTCTGCCATCAAGTAGTAATGTCAGCATTATTGTGTTCCGGTTTTGAAGGGTAAGGGTGCTGCTGAAATTACAAGAACATTGAACTTGTCAACTTAATGTCTCAGGGTGACGGGCGCAGTGGCAGTGCCCCTCAGATCTTTGCGATTTAAAGCTCTGAATGGCACTGCAACTGTTATGTACAGGCGAGTAGCTTACCGTCAGGCTAACGACTTGTTCGTCCCATCACTTGATATTATACAAAAAAAACTAATATAAATTATCTATATCTTAGAATTAACAGACTACGTGAAACCTCTGGGTGACTTGCAAAGCTTCGAGAACGAATGGATGGAAGTCGAAGTCCTCGGTCCGCGGTCTCCACTTGTCTCTGCAGAAATCAAAGCTAGAGCTATCGACATATCTGGCTCGAGTCCTGTGACCGACGATACTGGAGTTCCTGCATTCCTCTGCGATAATATCGACCCTAATTATATGGAACTGGGAAGCGATAGTGATTGTAAGTGATGACTACTTTATGCGGAGAATTCTAATAGAAATGATCAAATACAATGAGGTAGAAATAATCTCAGTACAGAGTACTAAAAAAATCGACCTCAAAAGTCATTCATCGCCTAGTTTGCCACCTTTATTTTCGTATTCTAGAACTCTACTCAATGCTCAAGTCAGGATTTGAGTATGGTTCAAAGCACTCGAAATCATACTCAAGTCCCTGCCATTAGGGTCGTGTTTCCAATGCAATCCTGACTTGAGCTACTCAATGTAGAGTTCTAGAATACGACCCTTAGAGGTGGAATATTTTTTTCAAATTTGAATGGGACCACACCTGAGGTACTCTCGTTCCAACAAACAAAAAGAATCTTCAATACCGGTTCACAAATTGCCGGAGTTATCACTTAACATACATACAAAAAAAGAACATACAATCGAATTGAGAACCTTCTCCTTTTTTGAAGTCGGTTAAGAGATAGTTTTGCGCGAAAAACTGGACGACAAAAACGAAAACGAAGGAAAAACGAAATGGACATTGAAACATTTTTTTTTTTTCACTTAAGTAAAAGAAAATGGACATTGATCTCATAAAATTTGAATGCCATTGCTACACTAATAGTATCAACCAAAAACATTTTAATGGTCCTAAACTTTCTTTGAGCTTGTAACCTACCTTCTTGTTCTCTATTATGTAATTTATTTTATTATTGTGCAACAATAGTAAGGACGACTCTAAAACTGAACTTCGACACACGCGACTCCGACAATATGTTACATCGACATGATTTTACTCAGACATTACGTTACTCCGACAATATGTTACTTCGACATTATTTTACTCAGACACTACTACGCTACTCCGACAACATGTTACATCGACATGATTTTACTCAGACACTACGCTACTCCGACAACATGTTACATCGACATGATTTTACTCAGACACTACGCTACATCGACAACACAGACGAGGTGTTTATTTAAAAAAATATTTGTACTCTGATAAGAAAAATCACCATTACAAACCCATCTAGGAAATGGTTTCTTATATCGATCACTATGACAAAAAAAGGACAACATTATGTAATCGGAAATTTATTTTATTACAATACAGAGTTTTTTTAAAACGGGACTGTATGAGGAAATCCGAAACCATAGAAGATACAACGAAACTGTCTTAGGAACCATAAAGTCGTCTTTTTTTGGGAAAACAATTTTTTGGTCAAGCGTGAATTGCCCATAAAAACAAATAAAATTCATCAAAATCTTTTTTAGTGCTGATCGACTCAGAGTTATGAAGGGATCATTTCATTGTATGAGGCGAAGAAAATCGGGACAGCAGGAGTTCGTTAAATTTAATAAAATGTTATTCATTGTGTTTTTACAAAATTTTTGTTGTGATTGTTTGTTGTACAAATTTTTTTTTAATTAAATTTGGCCAACTTTGCTGTCCCGATATTTTTCTTCGGGTACAATGAAATCATTCTTTTAAGGAACCGAGTCTATTAGCAATAAAAAAACTTTTTCGCTACAACTAAAATTGTCAATTTTGTTTATTTTGTATGAAAAATATTTTATCAACTTCTGCTGCCCCGATTTTTTCGTCCCATACAATGAAATGATCCCTTCATAACTCTGAGTCGATCAGCACTAAACAAAATTTTGATCAATTTTATTAATTATTATGGACAACCCACGCTTGACTAAAAAAATATGCCGAAATTTATTTCATAAAAAAAACTTTATGGTTCCTAAGACAGTTTTCTTGTATCTTCTATGGTTTCGGATTTCCCCAATTGTCCCATTAAAAAAAACACTCTGTATAAAGTGAAACAAAAAAAAAATATTAACATAAAATAAAATATACTATTTCAAAATTCCAATCCATTATTCAAAATTGTGCTTCTTATCGAAGCCCTTTCAAATTTTCTTCCGTCCCGAAAATAATAATTTATGTTTTTTCTGTTTACTGCAATTAGGTTTTTGTACATACATGAAATAGTGTAGTAAAAATTTATATTTTAATTTAATAGTTTTTTGTTACACATTATATAACTAATAAAAGAATTTTTCGATTATATGATTTTCGTTTTTGTTATATTGATCGATATATAACAAGAAACCATTTCCTAGGTGGGTTTGTAGTGATGATTTTTCTTATCAGATGTTTTTTAATAAACACCTCGTCTGTGTTGTTGATGTAGCGTAGTATCTGAGTAAAATCATGTCGATGTAACATGTTGTCGGAGTCGCGCGTGTCGAAGTTCAGTTTAGAGTCAAAAATATATAGTCTGATGTGCTGTTGACTGTAAGTACAATGTGTTACAAGCGCAATAAGTATGTAATTACGAACAGAGCGACATTCGAAGCGCGAGGCGAAGGCTTTAATGGTCCGAACATTTGTGGTTGTTGTTTCGCCCGTGTGGCACACAATATTCACATCGCACCTAGAAGAAAGTTAAAAAACGAAAATTAGACTAGTTTATTAGTTTATTCGTATTATATTTATAGAATTTTGAATATCTCATATTAGTATAGAATTTATTTTTAATTAATATAACGTTTTACTACCATGATATACATTTATTTTTTTGTGAAATTATTCACTAGTTTAGGAAATGAAACAAACCGACGTTTCGGGCCCTTTACAGGTCCTATTTAAATCCGGAAAAATAGTTTCATTTCCTATGTGTAACAATCGCGAAAACCTAAGAACTCGATATTATTCACTAGTTTGTTATAAATTACTAATAAGAAAGACACAGGTTCGATTCCTTTCAGATCGAAGAATTTTTCTTCGTGTTCGACGCTTGTTATTAATAATTATATTTATTTTAGCCAAAAATCTTTTTGCTGTAAATCTTTTTTCTTTACATTACAACAAGAAATCCTTTAAAGTGTGCATGCCTTGGTGTCTTTGTGTATGTATCTCATAACAATAATAAATGAAATAAAGTCAAAGTGTATGTATATTAGGTTTAATAAATAAAATCGTCGTGGCGCAAAATTGGCGCGAGGTGGAAGGCAGCGGTGGCCAAGGTGAGCGTATAGTAAAAAACGCACTACCCTAAGGCCCTATACTACTACTTATAAGTAACTGTGGGGAAAAGAACATTTGTAGTGCACTGTAAGGGTAGTTTAAAGCTTTTATTAATCTTACACAGTGCCACTATACAAGAACACCCATCTGGACATCGACGTTAGCAATAAAAGCGACCGTATCGAGTGGGGTCACGCGCGATACCAGGCAACATTTCGACCGGACCAAGCCTATGAGATGTGCATACAATGGGCGGTCGCCAGTGGAAACATTGTTGCTGAACTTGTAAGTGTTATTTCGTTATATATTAACCATTCATGATGGTTACTATAGTTCAAGTCCTATACAGTTCTTCTCTGGTAGACCTGGAGAGCCTAAAATACCATGCGATTGGTTAGGTTAAATGTCGTAACGCATTTTTAATTAATTAAAGTCTGTTCTTAAAATTTCTTTATTTTGTATATAGATATGTGGATGGGCGCGCAAGGCCCAGAGCTGTCGCCTACAAATGGTGCCGATTCCTGCCGATCCCTTAGCACTACCTTTTACTCTCAAGTCCGATCCATTGAGGGGGCCTATTTACGTGCCTTTGAATGAGGAACCTCTGCTGAGATCCAAGAGCGCTTTATTTGAAGGTACATCGTCAGTCATTAATTAGGTGTATAGGATTCGCATTGCGGGTTTTCGATCTTTGCTGTCTTACATTTGCCAATCGGGCGGGTCTACTCCCGTTGTGTCCGACACCCGTGCGAAACAATTACTGTCAAATATGATGTCAAGTATGAAGCTTCATTCGCATCATGCGTCGTTTAATTTGGCCGAGTGTTACCTATTTTATAGTAATTGTTTTGGATGCACATCGGTCGGAGGACGGGAACAGACCCCTAGGCATCATATCATTAATGCTCGTATTTGAGAACTCTACTCAATGCTCAA